ACTCACGTTGCCAATGTAAATGGACCCATGAATTTGCATCACTCTCCTGTGGACTAACTGTGAACTCAGACTTGGGCTTACATTAATCTTTTTGTTCTGCGTCTAGCATCGGGGGGTCCTGATCCTGACTGTTGTTTGTAAGCAGTACAACAGTGCAAATAACAAATAGTAACTAAGGGCTGCCAGCCCCTGCCCTGCAGGTCTGAAGCCAGAACTCTTTCTTTCTGTTCCGATGAGCCCACGTCCAACATTTCTCAGTGTGGCTCTGAGCAATTGTCCTGGGGTTTACAGACCCCATACTGAGCATAGACAGAGAGGAGAGTCTTTCCTATTTACAAGCAGGAATCTTGATCACACCTCCAGAACTGCCAGTCATGGAGACAAGCTCCCACCGCTGCAATTAATAGAGGAAACCAGGCCTGCTATAAAGGGGAGAGCACAGAGAAGGAAAAGGAGGCAGAAAGGCCTGGGTTAGCAAGAAAACAGCCAGGAAACTGAAAACCCTAAAAAGGAAGGGCTGATAGACTCATTTGGAGGTGAGGGTCCGAGACACAGCTGACTGAGAACAAATGGGAAATTCAACCTAGATGGAGCTACTATAGGGTGGGTGCAAAACTGGTTGGAAAACCGTTCCCAGAGAGTAGTTACTGGTTCACAGTCATGCTGGGAGGGCATAATGAGTGGGGTCTTGCAGGGATAAGTTCTAGGTCCAGTTCTGTTCAATACATTCATCACTGATTTAGATAATGGCATAGAGAGTACACTTGTAAAGTTTGCGGATGATACCAAGCTGGGAGGGGTTGCAAGTGCTTTGGAGGATAGGATTAAAATTCAAAATGATCTGGACAAACTGGAGAAATGGTCTGAGGTAAACAGGATGAAATTCAATAAGGACAAATGCAAAGTACTCCACTTGGGAAGGAACAATCAGTTGCACACATACAAAATGGGAAATGACTGCCTAGGAAGGAGTACTGCGCAAAGGGATCTGGGGGTCATAGTAGACCATAAGTTAAATGAGTCAACAGTGTAATGCTGTTGCAAAAAAAGCAAACATCATTCTGGGATGTATTAGCAGGAGCAAGACAAGAAAAATAATTCTTCTGCTCTACTATGCGCTGATTAGGCCTCAACTGGAGTACTGTATCCAGTTCTAGGTGTCATATTTCAGGAAGGATGTGGACAATTGGAGAGAGTCCAGAGAAGATCAACAAAAATGATTAGAGGTCTAGAACAGAGGTTCTCAAACTGTGGTCTGTGGACCACCAGGGTTTGCGAGCTCCATTCAGGTGGTCCGTGGATAGGTCCCTCTAAGGGTATGTCTACACTATGGAATAAGGTCGAATTTATAGAAGTTGTTTTTTTAGAAATCGGTTTTATATATTCGAGTGTGTGTGTCCCCACAGAAAATGCTCTAAGTGCATTAAGTGCATTAACTCAGCGGAGTGCTTCCACAGTACCGAGGCTAGAGTCGACTTCCGGAGCATTGCACTGTGGATAGCTATCCCACAGTTCCCGCAGTCTCCGCTGCCCATTGGAATTCTGGGTTGAGATCCCAATGCCTGATGGGGCTAAAACATTGTCGCGGGTGGTTCTGGGTACATATCGTCAGGCCCCCGTTTCCTCCCTCCCTCCGTGAAAGCAAGGGCAGACAATCGTTTTGCGCCTTTTTTCCTGAGTTACCTGTGCAGACGCCATACCACGGCAAGCATGGAGCCTGCTCAGGTAACCGTCACCCTATGTCTCCTGGGTGCTGGCAGACGCGGTACGGCATTGCTACACAGTAGCAGCAACCCCTTGCCTTGTGGCAGCAGACGGTACAGTATGACTGGTAGCCATCATCGTCATGTCTGAGGTGCTCCTGGCCACGTCGGCTGGGAGCGCCTGGGCAGACATGGGCGCAGGGACTAAATTTGGAGTGACTTGACCAGGTCATTCTCTTTAGTCCTGCAGTCAGTCCTATTGAACGGTCTTATGGTGAGCAGGCAGGCGATACGGATTGCTAGCAGTCGTACTGTACCATCTTCTGCCGGGCAGGCAAGAGATGAGGATGGCTAGCAGTCGTACTGTACCATCTTCTGCCGAGCAGCCATGAGATGTGGATGGCATGCAGTCCTTCTGCACCCTCTGCTGCCAGCCAAAGATGTAAAAGATAGATGGAGTGGATCAAAACAAGAAATAGACCAGATTTGTTCTGTATTCATTTGCTTCCCCCCTCCCCCGTCTAGGGGACTCATTCTTCTAGGTCACACTGCAGTCACTCACAGAGAAGGTGCAGCGAGGTAAATCTAGCTATGTATCAATCAGAGGCCAGGCTAACCTCCTTGTTCCAATAAGAACAATAACTTAGGTGCACCATTTCTTATTGGAACCCTCCGTGAAGTCCTGCCGGAAATACTCCTTGATGTAAAGCCACCCCCTTTGTTGATTTTAGCTCCCTGAAGCCAACCCTGTAAGCCATGTCCTCAGTCGCCCCTCCCTGCGTCAGAGCAACAGCAAACAAGCATCTGAGAGTGCTGTCCAGAGCAGTCACAATGGAGCACTCTGATGGGGCTAAAACATTGTCGCGGGTGGTTCTGGGTACATATTGTCAGGCCCCCGTTCCCTCCCTCCCTCCGTGAAAGCAAGGGCAGACAATCGTTTTGCGCCTTTTTTCCTGAGTTACCTGTGCAGACGCCATACCACGGCAAGCATGGAGCTCGCTCAGGTAACCGTCACCCTATGTCTCCTGGGTGCTGGCAGACGCGGTACGGCATTGCTACACAGTAGCAGCAACCCATTGCCTTTTGGCAGCAGACGGTGCAATACGACTGATAGCCGTCCTCGTTGTGTCCGAGGTGCTCCTGGCCACGTCGGCTGGGAGCGCGTGGGCAGACATGGGCGCAGGGACTAAATTTGGAGTGACTTGACCAGATCATTCTCTTTAGTCCTGCAGTCAGTCCTATTGAACCGTCTTATGGTGAGCAGGCAGGCGATACGGATTGCTAGCAGTCGTACTGTACCATCTTCTGCCGGGCAGGCAAGAGATGAGGATGGCTAGCAGTCGTACTGTACCATCTTCTGCCGAGCAGCTATGAGATGTGGATGGCATGCAGTCCTTCTGCACCATCTGCTGCCAGCCAAAGATGTAAAAGACAGATGGAGTGGATCAAAACAAGAAATAGACCAGATTTGTTTTGTACTCATTTGCCTCCTCCCCTGTCTAGGGGACTCATTCCTCTAGGTCACACTGCAGTCACTTACAGAGAAGGTGCAGCAAGGTAAATCTAGCCATGTATCAATCAGAGGCCAGGCTAACCTCCTTGTTCCAATAAGAACAATAACTTAGGTGCACCATTTCTTATTGGAACCCTCCGTGAAGTCCTGCCTGAAATACTCCTTGATGTAAAGACACCCCCTTTGTTGATTTTAGCTCCCTGAAGCCAACCCTGTAAGCCGCGTCGTCAGTCGCCCCTCCCTCCGTCAGAGCAACGGCAGACAATCGTTCCGCGCCTTTTTTCTGTGCAGACGCCATACCAAGGCAAGCATGGAGGCCGCTCAGCTCACTTTGGCAATTAGGAGCACATTAAACACCACACGCATTATCCAGCAGTATATGCAGCACCAGAACCTGGCAAAGCGATACCGGGCGAGGAGGCGACGTCAGCGCGGTTACGTGAGTGATCAGGACATGGACACAGATTTCTCTGAAAGCATGGGCCCTGCCAATGCATGCATCATGGTGCTATTGGGGCAGGTTCATGCTGTGGAACGCCGATTCTGGGCTTGGGAAACAAGCACAGACTGGTGGGACCGCATAGTGTTGCAGGTCTGGGACGATTCCCAGTAGCTGCGAAACTTTCGCATGCGTAAGGGCACTTTCATGGAACTTTGTGACTTGCTTTCCCCTGCCCTGAGGCGCATGAATACCAAGATGAGAGCAGCCCTCACAGTTGAGAAGCGAGTGGTGATAGCTCTGTGGAAGCTTGCAACGCCAGACAGCTACCGGTCAGTTGGGAATCAATTTGGAGAGGGCAAATCTACTGTTGGGGCTGCTGTGATGCAAGTAGCCCACACAATCAAAGATCTGCTGATATCAAGCGTAGTGACCCTGGGAAATGTGCAGGTCATAGTGGATGGCTTTGCTGCAAAGGGATTCCCTAACTGTGGTGGAGCCATAGACGGAACCCATATCCCTATCTTGGTACCGGAGCACCAAGCCGAGTACATAAACCGCAAGGGGTACTTTTCAATAGTGCTGCAAGCTCTGGTGGATCACAAGGGACATTTCACCAACATCAACGTGGGATGGCCGGGAAAGGTACATGACGCTCGCATCTTCAGGAATTCTGGTCTGTTTCAAAAGCTGCAGGAAGGGACTTTATTCCCAGACCAGAAAATAACTGTTGGGGATGTTGAAATGCCTATATGTATCCTTGGGGACCCAGCCTACCCCTTAATGCCATGGCTCATGAAGCCGTACACAGGCAGCCTGGACAGTAGTCAGGAGCTGTTCAACTACAGGCTGAGCAAGTGCAGAATGGTGGTAGAATGTGCATTTGGACGTTTAAAGGCGCGCTGGCGCAGTTTACTGACTCGCTTAGACCTCAGCGAAACCAATATTCCCACTGTTATTACTGCTTGCTGTGTGCTCCACAATATCTGTGAGAGTAAGGGGGAGACGTTTATGGCGGGGTGGGAGGTTGAGGCAAATCGCCTGGCTGCTGGTTATGCGCAGCCAGACACCAGGGCGGTTAGAAGAGCACAGGAGGGCGCGGCACGCATCAGAGAAGCTTTGAAAACCAGTTTCATGACTGGCCAGGCTACGGTGTGAAAGTTCTGTTTGTTTCTCCTTGATGAAACCCCCCGCCCCTTGGTTCACTCTACTTGCCTATAAGCTAACCACTCTCCCCTCCTCCCTTCAATCACCGCTTGCAGAGGCAATAAAGTCATTGTTGCTTCACATTCATGCATTCTTTATTCATTCATCACACAAATAGGGGGATGACTACCAAGGTAGCCCAGGAGGGGTGGTGGAGGAGGGAAGGAAAATGCCACACAGCACTTTAAAAGTTTACAACTTTAAAATTTATTGAATGACAGCCTTCTTTTTTTGGGGCAATCCTCTGTGGTGGAGTGGCTGGTTGGCCGGAGGCCCCCCCTCCGCGTTCTTGGGCATCTGGGTGTGAAGGCTATGGAACTTGGGGAGGAGGGCGGTTGGTTACACAGGGGCTGTAGTGGCAGTCTGTGCTCCAGCTGCCTTTGCTGCAGCTCAACCATACACTGGAGCATACTGGTTTGGTCCTCCAGCAGCCTCAGCATTGAATCCTGCCTCCTCTCATCACGCTGCGGCCACATTTGAGCTTCAGCCCTGTCTTCAGCCCGCCACTTACTCTCTTCAGCCCGCCACCTCTCCTCCCGGTCATTTTGTGCTTTCCTGCACTCTGACATTATTTGCCTCCACGCATTCGTCTGTTCTCTGTCAGTGTGGGAGGACAGCATGAGCTCGGAGAACATTTCATCGCGAGTGCGTTTTTTTTTCTTTCTAAGCTTCACTAGCCTCTGGGAAGGAGAAGATCCTGTGATCATTGAAACACATGCAGCTGGTGGAGAAAAAAAAAGGGACAGTGGTATTTAAAAAGACACATTTTATAAAACAGTGGCTACACTCTTTCAGGGTAAACCTTGCTGTTAACATTACATACATAGCACATGTGCTTTCGTTACAAGGTCGCATTTTGCCTCCCCCCACTGCGTGGCTACCCCCTCAACCTTCCCCCCTCCCTGTGGCTAACAGCGGGGAACATTTCTGTTTAGCCACAGGCAAACAGCCCAGCAGGAATGGGCTCCTCTGAGTGTCCCCTGAAGAAAACCACTCTATTTCAACCAGGTGACCATGAATTATATCTCACTCTCCTGAGGATAACACAGAGAGATAAAGAACGGATGTTGTTTGAATGCCAGCAAACATACACTGCAATGCTTTGTTGTACAATGATTCCCGAGTACGTGTTACTGGCCTGAAGTGGTAAAGTGTCCTACCATGAAGGACACAATAAGGCTGCCCTCCCCAGAAACCTTTTGCAAAGGCTTTGGGAGTACATCCAGGAGAACTGCGAATGCCAGGGCAAAGTAATCCTTTCACATGCTTGCTTTTAAACCATGTATAGTATTTTAAAAGGTACACTCACCGGAGGTCCCTTCTCCACCTGCTGGGTCCAGGAGGCAGCCTTGGGTGGGTTCGGGGGGTACTGGCTCCAGGTCCAGGGTGAGAAACAGTTCCTGGCTGTCGGGAAAACCGGTTTCTCCGCTTGCTTGCTGTGAGCTATCTACAACCTCATCATCATCATCTTCTTCGTCCCCAAAACCTGCTTCCGTATTGCCTCCATCTCCATTGAAGGAGTCAAACAACACGGCTGGGGTAGTGGTGGCTGAACCCCCTAAAATGGCATGCAGCTCATCATAGAAGCAGCATGTTTGGGGCTCTGACCCGGAGCGGCCATTCGCCTCTCTGTTTTTCTGGTAGGCTTGCCTCAGCTCCTTCAGTTTCACGCAGCATTGCTTCGGGTCCCTGTTACGGCCTCTGTCCTTCATGCCCTGGGAGATTTTCACAAAGGTTTTGGCATTTCGAAAACTGGAACGGAGTTCTGATAGCACGGATTCCTCTCCCCAAACAGCGATCAGATCCCGTACCTCCCGTTCGGTCCATGCTGGAGCTCTTTTGCGATTCTGGGACTCCATCATGGTCACCTCTGCTGATGAGCTCTGCATGGTCACCTGCAGCTTGCCACGCTGGCCAAACAGGAAATGAGATTCAAAAGTTCACGGTTCTTTTCCTGTCTACCTGGCCAGTGCATCTGAGTTGAGAGTGCTGTCCAGAGCGGTCACAGTGGAGCACTCTGGGATAGCTCCCGGAGGCCAATACCTTCGAATTGTGTCCACAGTACCCCAAATTTGAGCCGGCAAGGCCGATTTAAGCGCTAATCCACTTGTCAGGGGTGGAGTAAGGAAATTGATTTTAAGAGCCCTTTAAGTCAAAATAAAGGGCTTCATCGTGTGGACGGGTGCAGGTTTACATCGATTTAATGCTGCTAAATTCGACCTAAAGTCCTAGTGTAGACCAGGGCTAAGCCTAGGAGTACTCCCATTGAGTCTTAAGTAGCAAGCAGCATTAGGTTCAGTGTGGGTGCTGCTAGGTGTTTTGTAGGATAAATACCTTTTACTCTCCTTTCCAGTATCAGAAAATATTGTGTTAATATTTGCAATGACTCATAGATTTGTTTAGCATCTTAAAGCTGAGCTATGTGTGCACATAATATGCACGCAAGAGGGATAGTTTGTTTTAGTTTTTTTTAATATGGTGCTTTTATCTAAAGTGTTTTACAATAGTTAGCTAATGGTACAAACAACATTTGGAAAGATCATTGCATGGTCCACCAAGACCCTCGCAATTTTCAAGTGGTCCGTGGGAAAAAAGTTTGAAAACCACTGGTCTAGAAAACATAATCTATGAGGGAAGATTGAAAAAATTGGGTTTGTTTAGTCTGGAAAAGAGAAGACTGAGGGGGGACATAACAGTTTTCAAGTATGTTACAAGGAAGAGGAAGAAAAGTTTTTCTTAACCTCTGAGGATAGGACAAGAAGCAATGGGCTTAAATTGAAGCAAGGGAGATTTAGGTTGAACATTAGGAAAAACTTCCTAACAGTCAGGGTAGTTAAGCACTGGAATAAATTGCCTAGGGAGGTTGTGGAATCTCCATCATTGGAAATTTTTAAGAGCAGGTTAGACAAACACCTGTCAGGGATGGTTTAGATGGTGCTGGTCCTGCCATGAGTGCAGGGGACTGGACTAGATGACCTCTCAAGGTCCCTTCCAGTCCTATGATTCTATGAAACTCAGGAAGGTCAGTAAAAAGAAGGTGAGACCTCCACATACCGTGCCAAGAGGCAGCAACCGCAGCAACAGTCTCCCTCAGGTCTGTTGCATCCAGAGGCAATGTGGAGCTTGTGAATCTGGGATGCAGAAGTAAGGCCAAACCCTCTGCTGGTGTTAAACCCCCTCATTTAAATCCCAGTTTCCAGGAGATGTCAACTCTAACATTTTTTGCAATAGAGATTGGATGTGGGGAGATACCAAAAAGAAGCTTAAAAAGGAACAATTTCATTTGTAATGAAAAAAATCTTTTGCCAGTGTGTGACCACAGCACAGTAGCCTTAATATAAATAAGAATCAAGTTCAGATGTTTCTCTACATTCCAGTGAGTCCGCTATTGACATTATTGACACTGTGGGGGACAGGGGCTAGTTGGCATTCCCTTGAGTAAGGTTTTTTAGTTGAGAAATGGGTTTTTATAAAAATTAAATTTGTTCATTTCTCTACTACTAATTGAAATGACAATTTGGGGGGGGGGGGGTTGAAGTTTCCAAATTCCCACTCTATTTTTTTTAAATATTCTCCTCCTTTTTCACCATGGGGGGGAGGGGGAAATGGGTAACTATGTTAAGAGAAAATGAAAGAAAACACACTGTTTTCTCTCACTTAATAGAGAAGTGTGAGAAAATGTTTTTTCTCCGTCTGACCTTCTTCCACAGGAAACTTGTGAAGAGAGAAAGCTGTTTCCCTCACTGTTTTCACACTTTTAAAAGAATTCACACATTCCCAGTGGAAGAAAATAAGCAATGGCAGAGAAAGGCTGGAGAAAAAAACAAATATTCTACATAAAATTTTCAAAACAAAATGAAAATTCTCAGTGTGAATTATTTTTTTGTTAGAAAAACAGGGGGAAAGTGCAAGGTTCTGAATGAACTGAAAATAGTTTAGGATGTTCATTTTTTGCAAAAAATTGCCAACCAAATCTCAACCTGCTGTAATCAAATCTTGCCTTCCCATCTCCTCCCTGAGGAGGTATGGATCTTGATACAGAAATAGTTGCCCTTTAGTGGACTGGGAAGAATAAGCCTTTGAGACTGTATATACAGTGGCATCACATTGCAGGGCTGAAGCCTACACTGCAGTAAAAAACCTGCACCACCAAGTCTCAGAGCCAGGGCCAGTTGACTCAGGCTTGCAGAGCTTGGGATGTAGGGTTAAAAATTGCTGTGTAGGCATTCAGGCTCAGTCTGGAGCCTGGGCTCTGAGGCCCTCCCCACTCACAGCCAACCTAGGGCTCGGGTCCTATGTGCTTCCCACGTCAGATTGATTTGTGTGTGTGGATGGAAGGGAGGCTCGGGCTCAAACTGAGTTAGTGTCCAGGGGAGACAGACCCTCAGGGGTTTAGGCCTTTCGTTCCAAGGCAGCACTGACGGACTGTATGTTGAATACAGAGTTCGGTTCTGGACTTCTTCCCTCAGGCAGGGGCTGACAACCTGAAGAGGATTCAGGGAGAACTAAACAAATGAATGGAAGGGATGGATTAGAGAGGACAGAGCAAGAGACCTCAATGGGCCTTGGGGAGGAAGCCAATTCTGCGAAGCTCCTCACACAAAGGAAGTGTCCAGGAACTGAGTGAAGGTCAGAGGCTAAGGCTGGGGGAGGTCAACAGGGCCAATTCTAACATGATGCAGTTCCTGTCCATAGGGACCAGAATCAGGCCAGGCAAATACTCCATGAGGCACAATCTTGATGGCTCTATTAAATCCCCCCCTCCCCCTTTTTTTTTTCCTACCAGCTAGGCTAAAAATGGGACTTTGAGGGGGGGATTAGAACTAGCAGATGGAGGTGCCTGGGGACATGAGACATGGGATGCCTGTCAGAGGAGAAGAGGGACAGGGTGCTAAGGCTGATACAGCAGCAAGGGTGGGGGACATGAGAGAGGAGACCAAGTTCAAAGCATAGGTGAGAGCTGTATGATACACGTCCTGAAAGGCAGACATCAGGAGTTTGAACTCAGTGGATGGCAGAACTGAGAGCCAGTGACGTGACCCAGCTGGCACGGGGTGCTGTTTTTGAAGCAATGAACAGGAGAGCTGATCTGGCTAACGGCGGCAGCAGCAGAGCCGGGCTGGAGTTAGGTGTGGTGTGAGGGTGAAGTCCAAAGGAAAACAGAGTAGGGAAAGACACCGAGAGTTGGAACGGGGGCAAATCCCCCGGTGTGGACAAAGGAGCTCAGTGGGACGGGGTCTGTGCCTTTTCCTATTTTCAGGGAAGTCCACAGCACACTTATGGGTGCTAAATAAAATGAGACTGGCTGGTTTCGATAGAGAGGGTGGGTACAGGAGCTGACATGTGTGGACATGAAGGGTAGGGTAAGTGGGCACAATAACCTAATAGGCCTCTTCTGTCTGTAATGTCTCTGATTGATGAAGTGAGCTGTAGCTCACAAAAGCTTATGCTCAAATAAATTTGACGAATTGGAGGATTGGGCCAAAAGAAATCTGATGAGGTTCAATAAGGATAAGTGCAGGGTCTGCACTTAGGACGGAAGAACCCAATGCACAGCTACAGACTAGGGACCGAATGGCTAGGCAGCAGTTCTGCGGAAAAGGACCTAGGGGTGACAGTGGACGAGAAGCTGGATATGAGTCAGCAGTGTGCCCTTGTTGCCAAGAAGGCCAATGGCATTTTGGGATGTATAAGTAGGGGCATAGCGAGCAGATCGAGGGACGTGATCGTTCCCCTCTATTCGACATTGGTGAGGCCTCATCTGGAGTACTGTGTCCAGTTTTGGGCCCCACACTTCAAGAAGGATGTGGATAAATTGGAGAGAGTCCAGCGAAGGGCAACAAAAATGATTAGGGGTCTGGAACACATGAGTTATGAGGAGAGGCTGAGGGAGCTGGGATTGTTTAGCCTGCAGAAGAGAAGAATGAGGGGGGATTTGATAGCTGCTTTCAGCTACCTGAAAGGGGGTTCCAAAGAGGATGGCTCTAGACTGTTCTCAATGGTAGCAGATGACAGAACGAGGAGTAATGGTCTCAAGCTGCAGTGGGGGAGGTTTAGATTGGATATTAGGAAAAACTTTTTCACTAAGAGGGTGGTGAAACACTGGAATGCGTTACCTAGGGAGGTGGTAGAATCTCCTTCCTTAGAGGTTTTTAAGGTCAGGCTTGACAAAGCCCTGGCTGGGATGATTTAACTGGGAATTGGTCCTGCTTCGAGCAGGGGGTTGGACTAGATGACCTTCTGGGGTCCCTTCCAACCCTTATATTCTATGATTCTATGATTCTATGATTCTAAATTGCTTAGTCTCTAAGGTACCACAAGTCCTCCTTTTCTTTTTGTGGATACAGACTAACACGGCTGCTACTCTGAAATCTGATTCTTCTGTTCCTCACCTGTCATGTTAGGTCAATCAGAAGCCTGGCTGATCAGCAGTGCTGCGGGATCCTCCCACCAGTGTCTGGAAGGCTCCCTGGGAGAAGGCCACCCACCTTCAAACCCTCATCATCGGCCCAGAAACTGACACCAACGTGACCCTGAACGTCGTCCGTGGCCAGAAATCCCTGTGCCTGGAAGTCAATCCCTGTAACACGGTCAATCAGATCAAGGAGCAGATCATGCAGGAGAGGAAGTTTGGTGACTCAGAGTCCATCAGGCTGCTGTATGGGAACCAGGAACTGCAGGGCCTAAAGACCCTGGGCCAGCACGGAGTGAAGAGCTCAGCTACCCTGTTCATCATCCACAAAATGCCCTGGGGGATAAGCCACCACAGCGTGTTAAAGGCAACATGGGAGAGAGCAGTTGATGAAATTAATGGAAATTGCTTAAATTAATCTTAAATCCTTAAATTAATCTGTGTTCTGATCTTAGCACCAGTGACTGTGCTTAGTTTTAGAAGCTGAGCAGCTGTGTGAGCATTAAAAGACACAGACAA